GAGAGAGAGAGAGAGAGAGAGAGAGAGAGAGAGAGAGAGAGAGAGAGAGAGAGAGAGAGAATTTGTATGTCACCATCTCACTGCCCATGACTCAATATACATCCATTGGGGTGAAAAAAAAGGGCACATTGGTGCAGGAAAAAAAATAAAAAATAACAGCAACACAGCCCAATCTGTTAATTAAGAATAATTGCATCTGGGCTTATTTTTCATCCCCCCCTGCCACTATCCCTTCCCTATTTCTCTCAGTTTCTCCTTGTTTTCTTCAAATAAACATTTGCAGTGTCAGCTCCTTTTCTGATTTATCCTCTCCCTTCTATTATTTTTGTGTCTTTTGAGTTGTTGATGGTTTTTCACTGCACCATCTAAATTTAATCTCCAGCTGAGCTGACACAACAATTTTGCCTCCCAGCATTAAATAGGTTGTGTTTGGTTATGACCGTAAAAAAAACAAAATTATTTAGTCCTTGAGTTTATTTGGCATACAAGAGAAATCGGACATTTGGAGGTCTTCTGTGGTTTTGTGTGAAATGCATGTCGGTGAGAACAAAGGGAAGCAAAGATTATTTGTGATGCAATGCTCAACTCTAGGTAGTTTGTCAGGTAAAGGTTCCCCTCGTACATATGTACTAGTTGTTCCTGACTCTAGGGTGCGGTGCTCGTCTCTGTTTCAAAGCCAAAGAGCCAGCGCTGTCCAAAGACGTCTCGGTGGTCATGTGGCTGGCGTAACTAAACACCGAAGACGCACGGAACACTGTTCCCTTCCCACCAAAGATGGCCCCTATTTTTCTACTTGCATTTTTTATGTGCTTTCGAACTGCTAGGTAGGCAGAAGCTGGGACAAGTAACGGGAGCTCACTCCGGGATTCGAACTGCCAAACTGCTGACCTTTCTGATTGACAAGCTCAGCGTCTTAGCTACTGAGCCGCCTAGGTAGTTTGTTACTCTTGTCTTTTTTTCTTTTTCTTTGAGCCACTGCCTCCCTTTCATTTTGGCCCCGGCTTCCCCTGTCCCTTGGCAGGGCTGCCGAATTTCCATCTACAGTAGTTGTTTGCAAGAGATTTGGGGGGGGGGGGCGAGGGGGGAGATTTTGCCTCTGGCTCTTGTGCACATTTTTTTTAAGATTCTCTGTGCTGTTTATGGATTGGACTTCCTTTCCTTTTTGAGTGCTGACCCTAAATGTACTCTTGTTTTTCCTTGAAGGGGACTTAGCTTCTGTTGCACCTTTTTTTTATTTTTTGCGTGAAATTTTTACCAGGGCTCAAAAAAGATAATAATACATTGTTTTTGTTCTCCCCTTTGGTACTGTTTATCTTTTGTCTCTGTTTCCCTGGCATCATATTTTTCTATCTGGCATCCCCTCCTTTCTCTCTTTATGCCTGAAATTCTTATTCTCTTTCTTTCTTTCTTTCTTTCTTTCTTTCTTTCTTTCTTTCTTTCTTTCTTTCTTTCTTTCTTTC